ACGGCACGAGGAGAGTCGTCTCCGGCGAAACCGGCCTTGCACATACCCGACCCATTGTCCACTACGAGAGGTTGAATTTCCTCTGCCATTTTCTCCTGTTTTGCTGGAAATCACTGGTGCTTTCTCCAGATTCATCATGCTTTTATAGTAGTCCATGACTCAATGACTACTTCATGTCTCTCCATTAGCCTATCAGAATGTGTCTCTGCGTGTGATTATTCATAGCTCATAGGTTTTGTGAGAAGCATGGTGCTTGATGCTCACTTGACACTGGCGTGACGCGAGAACATTACTCACGTCGTCTTTTGTACAGAATGGAATAGGCTTCAGCTGCGTTCTCACACCGAAGTGATGGCAACTGACGTCGCAGACGTTGCCTCTTTTTTGACGAGTTGACTAGTGTAGTTCCTGAAAGCGGGATTGGCTTCGTAATTCCTTTGTAATCAGTAATCAATTAAATGCCTTTTAATATTTGTTAGTCATAGGTGTACGCAATTCTATGTGTTAAGGCATATGGTTTTTTTAGTTTTTGTAGTCTTTTCAAACGAACCGCCTACTAGGCAAATGGTGTTCCTTTAGCACACCATGGACAAGTGCCTGCCCGCACCTACCATCGTAAATGCTTTTTCTGATTTCCTGGGTTGTCTGATCAGATATACCATATTATCGAAATTTTCTATTTTGCTTAAACTTGAATGGGGCGCTGGAAAACAACGCCTTTCACACCTTTCCGTGGGGCGGGTGATTGCAAAGTTTGGGCATTTTATTTGAGCAGCAAAAATTTGGTGGAAAACCACTTCGCATATTTTGGTTTAGATGCCCCGATGCCATTTAGACTAGAAGTCTACATCGAATTCAACAAAATTATGCAATTCCAAGAAAGCTGTAAGGCGTAATAACGCCTTTAAATATCGATGTTACGGGATTGGTTTAAATGAGGCCAATCAAATTTCAGATTAGTCAGCTGTGGATAAAAATCTTCGAACTACACCATTTCTAGTGATTTCTTTTGTTTTTTTAGAGGAAATTCAATGCACTTTGTTTTGATGGATTGTAACCTTTTACATGTGCACCACATTGTGGACATTCTGTGGCATTCAAGGAACGATTTGAGAAATTCAGATCCTTAAATTACATAATGGCGCGCTTTATTAAAGTATCTCATATCGTATTATGTAGTTGGCCAGTATATTAGTCTCAGAGCCAACTGGCACGACTGCCAACAATGCAGGTCGCATCTAAGGATAATATATTTGGCAAGTAGGCTGAAATTGGTTCACGAAAATCCCTCCCACGCCTAAGTCATTGCAACAATAGCTTTGCTTAATGAGTCCTAATGACACCAACGTTTTTCTTAATATCCAATTAAGGCTTTATCACATTTTCTAAAAAGAAGAATATAACCTGGCCATAATTTGCCTCCAAAAATAATCCAGTAAACAAGATTATTAGCATTTCCGACAAATCTGTCAAAACTTATTTTGAAGAAACTACCTTGTTTAAGTGGCTAAGCTATGTAAAAATGGCAATTTCACCTTACTTGTCCATTTGGGATGCTTGATTGCACTAATATTTTTGGCCACTTCGATCTACCTCAATGCCGTATAATGGGATAATTAGTTACCAGGCAATGTCGGTCTTATATTTTTAAAGCAAGGCATTTACTTTGCAACGCTTTATATTTCTTTACATTTTTCTACCTCCGAATCACATTTTTGTGGTTTCACTAGAATCAAATAGACTCCACCACTTGACAATCTGTTTCCGTCAGTGGCAGGAATCAACGCCTGAAATGTCAAAATTTTCGTTTTTTATCCACTCAAGGTAAAATTTGTCAATTTACGTCTGCTGCTCTGCCACCTTCAACTGTATAATCAATCATCAACATACTTTTTTACCTTATCTCAGCCCCTTTCGACTGACGCGAGTTCGAGTGCCTCAAAGGGGACTCAATACACGATGACTGCTACGTAATCAGGCATCGAAACACCCAAAGTTGAATGGACAACAGGTCGGTATCTCAACTGGTCGGTTATTCTACTAGACACAACCAACCTCAATTCACTCAAATCTGACACGAGGCGATGTCAGAAGCTTCCATTATTAGCACTGTTCATGCTCAGGACCTAAATGGCACAACGACCTCTCTGCTTGGACTCTGTGGCAAATGTCGAGGCTAAGACAAGACTGCTGATTTCCTTACTACATCCACCATCAGATTGAAAGCTCATTCACGCTCTAAAACTCCACACTGTGGGCTAGACGCATTGCCTTTGCGGCTGACGTAACTGCGGCTAGTGGCGTCAGTTTCCTTTCTAGAGCATAAATAGTCACATTTGATGACTTACAGCTGAAGTGAAGTGCCACACAGCCCTAACATTAATACTCATAAGCTTTAATCATCCAAGGATGCGTTTGATGCAAGGAATAAATAAAGTCAAACGAGGTCCTTGAGGCTTAGTGGCTGCTTTGAAACAAAGTACGCGCTCTTAATGCCAAAGAGAAGCATTTTGACCGATAGATGAATGTTTTGTTTTAATTATGCCATAGAGAATTGAATGCGGCTGAAATAATTTTCTTGTGTTGGAAGGGCTTTAAAAATTACTCCACAATTTTGACCAGCAAGAACCTGACTCATTAGATAGTCAATTTCACCAGCTATGTGTCCCTGTAATCAGGCCAGAATTTAGAGAATATGCGACATTAAGGTGAAACATGCAAGTTTGGCCCACAGCCTGATTTCAGACAGGTGGAATAATTTGGATGATTCGCGTATAATTATAAGCACACTCTCTTGCATTGCGTCACTGACAAACTCAATAATTTTAAAAAAATACAGAATGAGGATTTGTTAAGTTGATTTAGGCGACGATGTGGGAGTTGCACACCTGATTAAAACAATCGATCGAATTCAAGTTCTCACCAGAACATTCGCGAACTGCATTGAATGCCTCTCACGTAGGCATATCGATCGCACCAACCGTAATGGCATTGTCTGTCTACCACTCCCCATGTTCATGAATGAAAATCCACTTAAACAAATCCCCAATTTTCCAAGAAATGGATATGAAAAATTTATCCCCGTGGTTAGTTTGTGGAGAATATAATTGAATAATTTAATGAATTGGAATACAAAAACGGCATAGTATTTAGAAGATCCCAAAGCCTCTTATATTGCTTTGTGTTGACAGCATTCAAACCGAATGTTAAATGAAACTAGAGAAAGGTGGAAGGTCGTAGGAATTGCGGACCACTTTCAATGTTCAGTAATGAAAATCCATTTAAACAAATCCCCAATTTTCCAAGAAATGAATATGAAAAAATGTCAGCCTGTAATTAGCTTGTGGAGCATATAATTGAATAAATAAATGAATTTTAATACATAAACGCCGTAGAGTGTAGCAAATTCCAAAGCTTCGTGTGTTGCTTTGTGTTGATCGATTGTCCCATGAAAATATAGAAAGGTTGAAGGTAGTAGGAATTGAGCACTTACTGAGTCGGATGCAACCGACATTTCAAGAATTCTTGCTTAACGTTCACAGGTAACGCACTGTAAATTCATGGGGCACAACTAATAAACAAATGTTTTTGACCACAAATGAGCTCACAAATTAAGCATTTTAGGCCATACTGCAGAAAGGCTTGTCTTTCTCGTTTGATTTTATTAATTTGCCGATGTCGAATAGATTGACAGATTGACACTCGAGAATCTTCAGAACTTAATAACAAATTTTGTATTATCTGTGCAAATTGCATCCAGATGAAGGGTGTTTAATTCTCGGAATTATCTAGGAGACGTGCATTTTAAACTTCTAAATAGCGTAACCATTTAGTTTCGAAACCATCTTACTGGCAGCAAGGAAAGACACACTTGTTCTGATATCAATCAGTCTTGACTAAATTAATGTAGCACTCAAACATCTATGGGATGTTTAAAAATTTGTAGGTTAAGCTAAACAGATGTCTTCTTGTCTAACGATGAGGGTTAGAACTGGGATTTTAAATGAAATTGCATAAGCTGATTTTTTCGTCGTTTAAAATCTACTAACAGTTTGGCAGTAACAAAACATAAACAATGAAATTGGGTGTTATTGACGGTTTGCTGTAAGACTGTGCCCGCTGCCGAAAGGGCCGCATCGAAGCAGGTGAGATGGGTGACAAAGGGCTGGAACACCAACTTGAACGGCTAGTGTCAATGCTTGCAGATCGCCAGTGGACTCAGGCCGCTCCCGTCAGTACACCGTCAATTGTCGGCCTCACCAACAGTATCTCGGAGTTCTCCTATGATCCGAAGAACGGCGTAACGTTCGAATCCCGGTACTGTCATTACCAAGACCTGTTTCGAGTCTATCTTGGGTCCCAGGACGACGCATGGAGGATCAGACTCCTTACTCGCAAACTGGGCCCAGCCGAACTGAAGAGATACTCAGACACGATCCTCTCCATGTCCTCGCTCGGCTTCACTTTGGAAGAAACCGCTCAGAATCTCAAATCGATGCTTAGAGAACGCACCTGCTTGTCCAGTACCCGGTACCGAGGCCTTAAACTCGCAATAGGAAAGTTTGACGACTTCCTTGACCATCTTGCAGTGGCCAATCGAGAGTGCGAGGCAAGTCACTTTAAATCAATGACTGATGACCAGCTGAAAACTCTCATTCTCATTTACAGGCTTCAAATCCCTAAGCACATGTATCTGGGAATGCCTCTGCTACACCTGATTGATCAAAATCCCTCTGTGACGCTGGACGATATCTGCGATGAATACCAACACTGAAGTAGCTCGCTGAATTACTCCAGAATGGTCCAAACTGAGGGCTGCAGTGCTCCCGAAGTCAACACAGTCCAGCGTATCAAAAAACCAACTCCCACTTCTGGCCCTCTCAGCCCTCGTCAGCCAACATCGGACGGAGGATCAGTCGGTACAAATCGTCGAAGGAGAACAAGGGACACCCCTCCTTCCGCGTGTTGGCACTGTGGGGCCTGGCATTATGTCAAGTTCTGCCCTTACAAGCAGCACCGGTGCCAGCGATGCAAAGCTAAGGGCCACAAGAACGGATACTGCAGATCATCCCCGTCTTACAGGAGTGGACGGCACTCTCACATTCACACAAAGGAAAGATCAAAAGCTAAACCAGCCAGCCCCACCATCTCATCTCTCAGCCTACGAGTCACATCCGAAGACACTTCACAGCAGCAGAGGATGTATATAACCGTCCTCATCAATGGCCATCGAGTTCGTCTGCAGCTAGACGCAGCCTCGGACGTCACCATTATCTCGGAAACTCATTGGCGCTCCATCGGAAGTCCTCCACACAGGAACAACTCTGAAACGGCAATCAGTGCTTGCGGCGGTGAAATTCGCTTCCACGGCCAAATGCAATGCTGTGTTTCTTTCCGCGGAACAACCTTCACTGGCAAGTGTTATGTCCTCAACGCAAACCTGAACCCCCTTGGTCTGGATTGGTTCAAGCAATTGGGTTTGCCTGATCTCCTGATCAGCTCCATCTGCAATGCCCTACACTTGTCGAAAATACCCTGCGAAAATACCGCGGACATCACCAACCAGTTCACCACGGTTTTTTAACCTGGATTAGGACACCGTTCTACGACACAGGCCACTTTTCGCCTTATGCCGGACGCCAAACCGGTCTTCCGTCCAAAAAGACCAGTCCCATGCGCATCATTACCGCTGGTCGACGCTGAGTTAGAACGTCTTGAACACGAAGGCGTCCTATCCCCCGTCTCATACTCAGCCTGGGCGGCCCCAATCGTTGTGGTACAGAAGGCTAATGATTCAATCCGGATATGCCCAGACTTCTCCACTGGTCTAAATGCAGCTCTGGAATCACACCACTACCCTTACCAGCCCCAGAGGATCCATTCACAATTCTGAGTGGCGGAAAATACTTCGCAAAACTCGATCTGGCCGATGCGTATCTGCAACTGGAAGTCGCTCCAGAGTTCCGCCCACTGCTGAACATCAATACCCATCGAGGTTTATTCCAGTACAACCGCCTACCCTTCGGAGTCAAGACTGCTCCTGCTATTTTTCAACAGTTTATGGACACCATTCTGGCCGGCATTCCTGGAGTGGCAGCATACCTCGACGACCTATTAATCGTAGCTAGTTCGCACGATGAGTTACGCAAGCGGTTTTATCTTTGATGCTTCTGGTCGGCATCCGGACCCTGAGAATGTCCGGGCTATTCAACAAATGCCGACTCCTAAAGATGTTCCCTCATTGCGCTCCTTCTTGGGACTAATTAGCTATTACTCGGCTTTTCTACCTTCCATGCACAATGTCCGACCACCACTGAATCCTTGCTTGGAAAGAACGTCCCTTGGTTTTGGTCCAACGAGTGCGAGGCGGCCTTCTGTCAACTCAAATCAATGCTCAGTTCGGACTTGCAACTTACCCATTATGATCCAAGCCTACCAATTGTTGTCGCAGCTGACGCCTCCGCTAAGGTCATCAAAGCCGTCATCGTCTACGTCTTTCCCGACGGCACAGAGAAGGCCATAATGCACGCATCCAGGTCGCTGACAACGACAGAACAGCGTTACGGACAGATTGAGAAAGATGCTCTCGCTTTGGTTTTCGCTGTCCGCCGTTTCCACACACTCCTTTATGGCAACGATTCACTTCATCGACAGACTGCAAGCCGCTGCTGTCAATTTTCGGATCAAAACAGGCATTCCAACTCACTCCGCAAACCGCCTGCAAAGATGGGCACTTATCTGTCGCACAGAGGATTTTGGGCAGACAGACGCCATATCACGGCTCATCAGTAAGCAGACCAACAACCAAGGAAGATGCCGTCATCGCTGAAATCTACGTCGATGATGGTATCACACAGCAGACATCGGCATCGAACAACACACTACGGCAGGCCATCCATTACGTCCAAGGCAAATGGCCAAAACGCTCCCCCACCGGAGATCTTCAGCAGTTGTTCCAGCGGCGCGATTCCCTCTGCGTTATAGACAGCTGCCTGATGTTCGGAGAACGCGTTGTGGTGCCCAAATCATTGCGCTTGCGGGTTCTTCGTCAATTTCACACTGGTCATCCCGGCATAGGTCGCGTGAAGTCTATTGCCCGCAGTTACGTTTACTGACCAAATGTGGATCAGCAAATTGCAGACCTAGCCAAAAGTTGTCGCCAATGCCAGCAGGTCACCATGGACCCTCCCAAGGTTCCTTCAGTCTCTTGGCCATTACCACAAAAACCCTTGTCACGCATCCATGTCGACTTTGCGGGACCGATCAACGGAGCCTCGTACCCTGTGCTGGTGGACGCCCACTCAAAATGGCCGAAAATCGTCCCAATGACTTCCCCTGCAACAACGAGGACATTACAGGCTTTGTCCCGGATTTTCAGCCAACATGGCATTCCGGAAACCATATTCTGAGACAACGGATCACAATTCACATCCCAAGAATTCAAGTAATTCTGTCGACATCACGCTATTCTACACATGCATTCCACACCCTACCACCTACAGTCAAACGGACAGGCGGAAAGGTTCGTCGACACATTGAAGCGAGCTCTGCTAAAATCCCTTAGGGAAGGAAGGACATCCGCGAAAGTCTACAGAATTTTTCGCCGGTGTAGCGTACGGCACCAAACGAGGCTCTTCCAAATCGACAGTCGCCATCCGAGGCACTCGTGGGTCGCCAATTGCGGACAACAAATTCCGCAATGATTCTGGTACAGGACAACCGCCCGGAGCCTCCGAGTACGAAATCTACCACTCCATTTGAGATTGGAACAGCTGTGTACGTTCGAGACTATCGACTAATGCACGACCCATGGATCGAAGGGACTATTGCACCCTGACACGGCAAGGTCATGTTCGACGTGACGGAGGGTCGCGACGCGTGGTCAAGGCATCGCAACCGGCTCCGATGGAGAAAAGGGTCTGCAACACCAAATCGCTTGACCAGAGTCCCACAGGATGTACTTTTCGACACTTTCCAGCTGCCGATACCAGTAACAACGCTAGTGAAATCGAACAGAGATCAACTAGCAACAGACAGGTCTTCACCCCCAATGCAGAGTAGTCGAAAACGACGGAAATCAACACTATTCCAAGTCAACCCAAAGAAGAAGCGTTACTAACCTTTCAAGGAGGAGAGGTGTTGGGAATCCTCGATACCCCAAGATTGCTCATCGTCAGTTTTTGGCAGTATTTACACTAAGTCTCAACATGTGTTAAATTACGCTGTTTATCAGGTCAAGGTCGACCTTGACTAAAATTAGTTTTACTTTTAACAACCCAATCCGCACGTGGCTGACGTAATTAAAGCTCTCTACACGAGCTCTGGTCATGGCCTTGTATTAACGCGGGAAGGTCGGTGTTAGCGTCCACAGGTGAACTGGTACCGTTACTTAAGTGTTTTATTCTTTGCTACGGTCAAACGCAACATGAACTTGACTGAAAAATAAGCTAGCAGCTAAAGTGCCTCATTGACGGTTTGCTGTAAGACTGTGCCAGCTGCCGAAAGGGACGCATCGATTAGTAGAGACAGAGGGGAAACTGATCGTTGATACACGAGCACGGTTGTCATCGCCAAGGCCTTCTTTGCGGCTGTAAAGGCTTCACGTGCCTTGTCGGTCATGGTTAGATTTTTTGCGGCTTTTGAGTAGATTGGTTAGAGGCAAAATGGTCTGACCCGCACTGGGTAGGAATCGGCGGTAGAAATTGGTCATGCCCAAGAAACGCTGGCTATTCTCGAATCTCTTTAACCTTGATATCGGTAGGCCTTAAGCCTGCAGCAGAGATATTGTGTCCTAGGAATTCAAGCCCGGGAACTCCGAAGACACACTTTGACGGATTACTAATCAAAACATATTCGTTTAGGCGTCGAAAGACAATGTACAAGTGTTTTAGGTGCTCGTCTTTATCTTTACTGACAACCAGAACATCGTTGATATATGAAAAGACAGAATCTAAACCAGATAATACTTGGTGGATGAAACGCTGAAAGGTTTGAGCTGCGCTTCGTAAGCCGAAAGGCATTCGCACGAACACGAACAAACCAAATGGTGCAGCAGCAGCCGTCTTAAGGAAATCAGATGGTTCGACAGAAATCTGAAAATAGACTCGTACCAAATGCCAACCAGAAAAAAACGGATTTTCGGTGGGGAATCTGCGAAAAATCATGCAGATTTGGTATTGGGTAGCGATCAGGAACTGTTATTGCGTTTGTGAAAATTTTGTGCGCGACATTGTGTCGGAACACTGCTTGCCGGTGTGCTGAATTAATAAGATCCAGGCATTTTGGCAGTAAGGCCAAGTAGGGTCCATTTTCAACCTGTAATATTGTAACCTGGGAAATGGCTGATGTACTTTGTGTGGGGCACCTAATGGATAGAGTTGTTAGGGGATCTATTAGACGCTTGTTCTTTAGGTCGAGGAGAAGACCGAAGTGGTTGAGAAAATCGGCGCCTATGATTGGATGGGTCACCGCAGCGATGGTGAAGACCCAACGGAACTGGCGTCGTGGTCCTAAGTAGAGCGTGACCGATCTTTGCGCGTAGGTGGAGATGGGGAGCCATTGGAGGCTGAGAAAACAAAGAAGAGGTTTGGAGACCACTTTTCAGAGTGCGTTGGAGGGACAACGGATATGTCAGCTCCAGGGTCGATCAAGAATCGCATACCAGTTGACTTGTCGGGTAGGAAAAGGCGGCGACTTAGGTGCCCATTAGCTGTCGACGCCACTACTGCCGGGCATTCTCGTTTGCCGACTGTGTTTGCGAGTCTGAATCAGCGTACCCACTCCGGGGCCTACAAGGTCGGGCTGCACGGCCGAAGGTTGCAGGATACCACCACAAACCTCGGGACAACGAGCGTGAAGAGGATCTTCGGCGAGAATGTGAGCTGTTCCGTCTAAATGAATTGTTGTATCTTCTCCCTCGTGAACCGTTGATTGCTTCTTCGATCCTGGCTAGGCGGCTCCCCAAGGAGACAGGTGTCCAGCACGGGCCCACGGACAAAAAGCATTCGATTGTCTTTGGAGCCTTGGGTCAAGTTCGGAGATGTGAGCCGGTTCTGTTTTACACCACTCCTGACAAGCACGTGTGGTAAGCAGCTGCGAGCACAGTTAGCAGTCATGTTCGAATGTGAAACAAAATCGGGGTTTGCGTTTCGTAAGTCATATGACTGAGGAGACCTCGAAATCAGACTTGTTCCAGACCTGTCTC